ATATATATATATATATATATACACAGTATATATGATTTGTTGATTAATCTACTAAAGCATTTTACTTTAAAGTTAATATACGTTAAATACTTTAAATGTACTAAATTGCAACTTCATCTTTACAAATGTGTAATTACAAATCTATTAAAATACATCACATGCAGGGTTCAAGTATATTTTAGTTTACCATAAATGCATATCAGTACATTCAGCAGTACACTTTAACAACATTTCAAAGAAAATAAGTAATTATGAAATGACATACAAAGTTGTACTGAAGTCTTACTTAAGTCAAAAAGGCACTATAAGTTCAGTTAATTGCATTTAATATATTTAACTAATATAAACTATTATGCATTTGCACATATGTATACATATCCAATGCACCCAGATGTGCTGTATATTTGAAATCTCAAAGAATGATTTCAGCATGATGGAGTTCACCCTGTAGTCTGTCACGAATCCTGCCCGTGGTCTTCCGTCCGCTCGCCACCAGAAGTCACCTTCTGATTATATTGACTTTCACACTACACAGACTGTTACACGTCACCCTGGACTACATTTCAATTTCACTAATCACACTCTCACCTGTAGCCAATCACACACACTATAAATACGAGGTCCTAACCACCACTCAGTCCTGAGTATTGTAAGCACATATCGCTACCATAGCTGATAGCTACTTTACAGAGCCTGCTCTAGTTTTCTTAGTCTAATCTAGTCTTGTTCTTTGACTGATTTTCCCGTGTTTATATCCTAACCTGTGTATCTCGTTTCTGTGTGTTCTCTGCCTGCCATGGATTTCGCTTGCTCTGGATTACTCCTGTCGTCATGTCACGTTTGAATACTGTATGCTTCTTGCCTGGACTCTAGCCTGTTTTGGATTACCCCTTTGCTCTGCCCTTTGGATATGACCCACGCCTGTGTTAAGAATACTCTTTTGTCTAGCCCTGTTCAACCTTGTTTGCCAGTGTCGATCTTTGCCTGTTATGACCATGTCTCTGTTTAATAAAAGCTTGCATATGTATCCACACGCTTCCTCTGTTCTCCCCGTAACATAGACTGTTTAGGGTTACTAAGAAACTTGGCGCATTAATATAGAATTCAAATGACATCACAGGTGTGTGATTAATAGCTGTTTTACAATGGCTTTGAATGTGGGTCATCCAATCAGAATCGCTGAGCCAAAACTACCCTAATCAATGTGTAAAAAACAAAAACAAAACAAAGAATGCAAATATGGTGGATGACTAATAGAAAGATAAATCATACATACTAAAAACCGAAGCAAAGAGACTGAGATCAAGGAGCATCAGAAATAGGTCAGGATGAGTCTCTGCTCTCTTTAATACATTCATCCCCTTCAATAAATAATAAGTGTCAATTTCGAGACCTTCGGCGCCTCATAAACTCATGCCAAGGGTCAGTCTCCTCAATCTGGCCAATACTTGTCCTGACAAAACCTCATTTAACTTTGCAAGGCATTAAAACAAATGTCCATGTCTTTCATACCTTCATAGAGCCAGTCGCTCAGACCGTTGAATATCACACCCTCCTTCCCAGTGGAAACAAGACGGATGGATCTGTTCTCCACAGTGGCCCGATAGTAGATGTTATTCTCAAATATAAAAATCTAGAGAAATGGATAGAAACACAAACACGCTGCAATAAAATTTGATGGATAGGCCAGGAGGGGTTTACTGGGGATGACATTTACAGTGTGCATGGAGAACTTTAAAGGAGTCATATCATACAGTTTTTATTTATTATTTTCACCCTGAGGTCCATTTATAATATTAGTAAGTTGTTTTTGTTTTCACCCTCTCTCCGACCCTTAGAAACATTCAGGGTTTTTGCTGCTGTGGCTTTAAAAAATGCCCCTTTGCAGGTGTAACAGTTCTTTGGTCCATGGTTTCTGTCAAATATAGTTGTTAAAGCAATAGTTCACCCAAAAATGAAAATTTGTTTAAAAACTTACTCTCAGGCCATCAGAGATATAGATTAGTTTTTTTCTTCATCTGAACAGATTTGGAGAAATTTAGCATCACATCACTTGTCCATGGTTTCTGTCAAATATAGTTGTTAAAGCAATAGTTCACCCAAAAATGAAAATTTGTTTAAAAACTTACTCTCAGGCCATCAGAGATATAGATTAGTTTTTTTCTTCATCTGAACAGATTTGGAGAAATTTAGCATCACATCTCTTGCTCGCCAATGGATTCTGTGCAGTGAATGGGTGCCGTCAGAATGAGAGTCCAAACAGCTGATCACAAAACATCACAACAATCAATCCAAACAACGCCAGTGTCTTGTGAAGCGAAAAGCTGCATGTTTGTAAGAAACAAGTCCATCATTAACTTTAAACTGATGCTTCTGGCCAAAATATGAGTCCATAATCTATAATAATGCTTATAGTGAAAAGGTCAACCCCGCGGCTGTCCTCTCACATCAAAATCCACTGATATATTGGTTTAGAAATGATTTCGCTTATAAACAGTATTTGATCTGTGCATATTTCTCTCCTGATTCAGATGAGGCAACTTTTTCACCTGAGAAAAAGTTTGTCTGAAGTTTAAAAACACCTTTATGATGAGTTTGTTTATTACGAACATGTCGTTTTTGCATAGAAGACATTCATTGATGAACTGGAGTCATGTGGATTACTTGTGAATTATTGTGATGTTTTTGTCAGCTGTTTGGACTCTCATTCTGACGGCACCCATTCACTGCAGAGGATCCATTGGTGAGCAAGTGATGTAGTGCTACATTTCTCCAAATCTGTTCGGATAAAGAAACAAGCTCTACATATTGGATAGCCTGTACATTTTCAGCAAATTTTTAATTTTGGGTGATTCAGTTGAGCTCAGATGGAAATAATCAGGCATCTTGTTTAAAATGAACTTCACCCTTTGGTTTATAACATCAAGATTCTTCACAAGGATCTAAAGGCAGCAGTTGATACACAAAAACAGCACAAGGTTTGGTTAACCTTTACATATTTAAACGTGAGTTCATTTGCTTTGTAGGATTAATCATATTTATCTTGCTTTCACCTTGATTTGGCAAGTCAAGTTTCTGATTTATGTCTGTCAGAAAGTTTTTTTGAGTCATTTTTGCATTTCAGTTTCAATAAATGGTATTGTTTAGGACTGGGTAGGTTGTCAGTTCTGAAAGTTTATTAGTACGTCAAGGACAGTTTGGCTGAGAGAGCTCATACAGATTCAAAGATGTATTTTCATTTAACTCAGGCCTTTACACAAACTGTCCTTTTATTTATTTTTATTTTAGATCACCTCTAAACATTCCAAAGAGTCACCTGGTGGCTTCATTTATAAAACGACTTCCGTAGCACCATATTTAAAATAACCTCTGCACTCAGAAATGAAAAGGAACACTCTCTATGCTTAAGATCACAGAAAAAGGTCCTGGGGGAAGATGACAGGACATTTTGACTTTTAAAATTAAAACCTTCTAAAAGAGAACTTGATCAGACCAAAACCAAGCCTTAAAACAAGTTTAAAAATGTGTGCCAACAGCTAGAATGATTACAATTATTTATTCAGTTTAAAGTTTCAAATATTTACAACATTTGAACATAATTCAACATTTTTTTAACCAAATTAAAATTGCCGAAAAATCTGAATAAATGAATAATGATCTGGACGAAAGCTCATTTTACTTTTTACTTCGATTGATTGATAGATGCATATCTCTTTAAATTTTGAACAGGATCAGTTTTCCCTAAAGTGGTCAGGTAAATTTGTCTTTCAGACATACTAACCTTGTCTGAATCAAACATGTTGGTGTTTTGCTTGCACAACCTCTGTAAAAATTAAAGAGCGAATTGCCCAATGTTTTTCAACAAACCCGACAGTCCTCTGAGAAATCTATTTTCCCAGATAGGAATGTCTGTGATTGCAGTATTGTATCTCATTGCTTGTATCTCATCACCCCATTGCTTCTCATTTACTTTGACCTTCGTTAAATACTGTAATTAAAGCTCATTTTTTGTTGTGCTTCCTGGTGCAACTTCCTTACATATTTAGAGCTATTTGCCAACATCGCAGGTCAAATAACAGTTGGTGGTTCCAGTACTGCTGTCAATTAATTTATTCCCTTAATGATATAAATATACACTATTGGTCAAAAGTTTGGAAAAATTAAGATCTAATGTTTCTGAAACAAGTCTCTTATTTATTTGATTAAAAACACTGAAAACAGTAATATTGTGAAACATTACTACAATTTAAAATAACTGTTTTTTAATATATTAAAATGTAATTTAGGAAACACTTTAAGGATCAATTCTTACTATTAACTAGTTGCTTATTATTAACATGCATATTACTAGTATATTGGCTAGTAATAACTCTGCAATTATTCATATATTATTGTGCACAACCATATTTTAGATCCATTAATCCTACCCCATACATAAACTTAACAACTACCTTATTAACTATTAATAAGCAGCAAATTATGAGTTTATTGAGGCAAAAGACATAGTTAACAGTTAATTATTAGTGAGAATTGGTCCCCAAACTAAAGTGTGACCATAATTTATTCCTGAAATAGCAACAGTGAATTTTTTGCAGCAATTATTCCAGTCTTCAGGGTCACATGATCCTTCAGAAATCATGTTTCAATATAAACCGATCAAAAGTGACCATAAAGACATTTTTAATGTTAGAAACAATTTCCATTTCTGGTGCTCTTTTGAACTTTCTATTTATCAAATAATTCTGAAAATATTAAGGAACCAAAAATGTTTTCAACATTGATAATAATAATAACAATTATTAATAATTGGGCATCAATCTGCATATTAGAATGATTTCTGAAAGATCGTGTGCCACTAAATTTAGCTTTGCCATCACTTGAATAAATTACATTTTAAGATATTTTAAAATATAAAAGCTATTTTCAATTGTAATTATATATGTACAATATTATTAGCAAGCATGTGTTCTTTCAAAAAACTTTAAACTTTACAAAATCTTGATTATTCCAAACTTTTGACCAGTAGCATATTATATACCAGCAAGTATTTTACCAGTATTTATTTATTTACTTTTTGTGTACAAAACAGAAGAAAGAAATACATGTAATTAGGGTTGGGAACCGATAACCGGTTCTGTTTTTTGATAAGAACCGGAACCGTGAGCAATTTCTAAGTTTCGGTTCCGAAAACGGTTCTGGTGCGACACGTGACCAACCGCTGTGAGCAGCATTGTGCCGGCGTTTCCCGTAAAGGATGTCACAAACCAAATAACAGAAACACCGCCCTGCCTCTTTAATTACTGAGCACATTGTTTCCCATGACACGCACTCCACAGACGTGCCGCGTCTTTAACTGCCGAACACATCGTTTTCCACGTCTGTACTTTGATAAATGTGCACGTTGTTTTGTCTAACTGTACATGTACCGGCAGCACGCAGCTCCTGCCGCCACTAAATTACATTATATTTGTCCCATATTGTCATTAATATACATACTGACTTCAACTTGAACCACTAAATAAATAGACTGCTATTGTTATGTAAGTATGAGGGTTAGATTATTTAGTGTACAGGTCATTTCAAGAGTGATAAACAAAAAAGTGATAGAAAATATTTTCATGCATTTTAAATGTTTAAAAATGTGGAAACCACTCATTGCATCACACCATCTCCTGACTGCATTATTATTTGTAAAATAGGGGCTTTATGCAGTGTGTGTATACATGGTTATAAGTATAATATTTCATTAATTTAGGGAAATGAACAAGTGTCTTAGCCCTCAAGGGACTATTTGACCAACCAGCTTATTCCTGCTTGAAAAGCAAAATGTTATTGATAGTGTAAAAAACATCAACTTTGAAGCACATGCATTACTCAACATTACTTACTACCTTCCAGCAACACTACATTCAATTAAGGTAAAATAGTAAGAAAAAAAATAGTTCATTTAAATGGAACCGGAATCGGAATCGTTAGGCAAAACTGGAACCGGAATCAGAACCAGAAAATGTCTAACGATACCCAACCCTACATGTAATACGGGTTTGGAAGAACATGAGGGTGAGTAAATGAAGACAGAACTTTCATTTTATGGTAAACTATCCTTTTAATGTTTGCTTTATTTCAATGTGTTTAATTATGAATCACTCACACAAAAGCATTAGGTATTTTGGGGTTGCAACTGCTAATAGACTACAAAGAAAGTGTTATGAGATTTGAGAGGCAGTTCCACTATTATTATAAACCTAATAAAAGTTTTTATTTAGGGTTCACGAAGTAATCTGAAAAGAGAAGATGGCTGGAGTGGTCAGAAAATCTGGCCCCTGGACCAGCTAGTCAATACTTCTGAATATATATTCCACTGCCATTGGTATGTGTGGTTGTGCTTGTAAACCCACCGTTGGCTGTAGAAAGGGGTCTATACAATTTTAAAATCTTTTTTTACACTCCTGTTTGTGAAAATATATACTGTTGCAAGCTGACCCCTTTCAAATCAAGGGAAACACACAGTCCTTATGGTCCAATTTCATCATGAACATCTTGATGCTGTTGTTATGTGATGTTTTTCTTGGAGCGCATGCTCTGCACTGAATGTGAGGTGTACTTGAAATTTATTACATTATACACTGACCA